ATCTAATCACTAGATTCTAATATAATATTAGATTTGTATTACTATAAATATATTTTATTTTAAGTTATTATATAGTAATATAAAACTATTTATAACTTAGCTTTTAGTGATTGGATTTTTATGATTTTAAATTTATTAGAATCTTCTTAATAAGAGAATTAGTTGGTAGTTAAATCATTCCAATTGGTTTAGTAGATTAAAAGTTATTCAATATTTTATATTATATATAATTTTAATTATAAGTTTTAATAATCGTGAACCCTGATTGGCTGATTGGATATCAGGTGGGGTGGGTAGGGTGGGTTGAGGTGATCACTTAGTAAACCCTAATCAGCTGATTTCTGGAAGCCCCCTTAAGTCTAAGTCTAGATGTTTGTACAGGATAATAATTCTTTAAAGTGAGTGAAAGTAGATGTTCTAAAGATTTTATTTCTGATACTGATAATATTGATAGTTGTGCTTCTAAGCTTAATGAAGTTATTGATATAGATGAGGTAAATGAAATAGATGAGATAGTTCAGGATGGTGAGATTAAAAATGCTGTTAAAAGAGGTAAAAAAGTATGTGTGGTAATAAAAAAGGAAGTAGACATGTTAGTAGGTCTTTGTATAGTAGTTTGAAGTCTCATAGTTCTGATATTGATGTTGATAAGAAATAATTATTGTGTTTTTTATGTTGTTATATAGTTTTGTGTATATTGTAATATTTGAGATTAGTATACAATGTGTTAGTCATTTATTTGAACTTTATTACATATTTTTTTATAAATATTAACAAAAATAAATGAAATATTATTAGGTGCAGTTAAAGTATATATTTTATATTCTACATATTATATTATACTTGTTTTTTAATATTATTGTGCATCTACTACATATGACCTTTTTATTTTGAATTCCTTATTTTTTCTTCAAAATTAGCTGCCATCAATTTTCTTTATATCTTGCAAATTCTTCAACATTCAACTCTTCACAAGGACTAACACTAAACAAAGTTGCACTCAATTTATATACTCAAGTATTTGGCCATAGTCAGCTTTACACTGCTCTTACACAACTCCATCAACAAAATTATATTCTAATACTTACAGAACAAAGCTACTCACCTAATATATTTATTACAAAAAATGTTGTATATTCAGAATTACTTAAATAATTATCAGTTCTTTAATAAAACAAACTAAAAATAAAAACAATTTATACAAAATTAAATAATATCTAATTTCTATTATTGCTAACTCAATACCATTATATTATTTAAATTATCTCATGCATGTAATTTATTAAATATATAAATAATTTTCTAATTATCATATCTAAATTCTATGTAAAAATT